CTGTGGGCCAACTCACCATGGGCCAACTCACCGCAGGTCAACTCACCATGGCCAACTCGCAGGACAACTCCACACAGGACAAGAATTACACTAATATTGAAAAAATAGTGGAAGAGAATCATGGAAGAGAAGATGCCAAAGGAAGGACAAAATGAAATGTGAATGACCAAAATTAAAATTATTTCTAAATTATTTTACATCATTACATTGTTGAATAGTCCTGCCAGGAATTGGCCATGGCGAATTGGCTGCAGTGACTAATCCCATTCCATTCCCTATGAGCCATATAATTCCCCATTGTAATTTTGGTTTATGGCCAATAGATGGGTGGCAAACAATTTCTGAGGAGTAATGCCAAGTTAGAGCATTGTTATTTTTTTAAAAAAAATACAACTAATCTAGCCCAAGTCGCCTGTCTTGACTACTGCAGTGTGCTTTACATAGGGCTACCCTTGTTGAGTATCTTGGAAGCTTCAATTAGTTCAAAATGTGGCATATGGTTTTGTACACATCTAGATTTGCATATGTGTCAACTCTCTTGCATTCATTGCTGATTTGCTTTCAGGTCCAATTCAAGGTGCTGGTTGTCATCTTTAAAGCTCTGCATGGCTTGGGGACAGGTAATTTGAAGGGCTGTCTTTTCCCAATTACAGCCACCTGACCCACCTGAGTGGAGGCTCAGTGTATGTCACTGGTCCCCTCCATTAAGGAGTTCCATCAAATGGGCCCAAGAAGAAGCATCTTCTCCCTCTCTGTGGAACACCATCCCCACAGAAATTAGCCTGCCCCTACCTTGATACTCTTTCAAAAGGCCCTGAAGACATGGTTTTGCCCTCAGGGTAAATATAGAGCTCATCGGGATTTATTGAGTTTTATATTTGGGATGTTATTTCTTTGAGTTATTGTGAATGAGTTCGATGGTCATACAATATTTTAACAAATAAAAATAACATCCTAAACAGAAAACCAGGTTGGTATACTGGCATCAGGCAAGAAGAGTACCAGGTGGCCATGAGATCTAGTTCCACCTTAGACAGAAAGCCAAATGGATGATCTTAGGCCAGTCACTTTCTTTCAGTCCTACAAATAAGGTAAACCCTTTCCAATATTTTGGCAAGAAACTGCAGGGACTAATCCACACAGTTTCTAGGAATCAAGAGTGACTTGAAGGCACAAAATATGTCCTTATGACTAAGCAGACATTGATTGGTTGTTGAAACCAATCAATCCATATCTTATTTCCCTGAAGGTTCTCCATTCTGCATCTGAAATAAGATATGGATTGACCAGAAAGAGAAAAACACTCAAAGATTTTATTATTGAAGTTTAATTTCATGGATTATTTTCTGATGTAATTTTAATTCTGAGTGATCTTTAATATAGTTGAGAATTTGATGCTCCACTGCATTGTTTTGATTTTGTTAGTTTGGCTTGAAGCATAGTATATAAACATGTCAAAATAAATAAAGCTTGCTGAACACCTCTAAACCCTGGATTATCTCTTTGATTAGCGCAGCCATATTAGACTACAACTGCTGTCCTCCCCAATCAAGTATGATCAGACAGTACTTCTGAAATGAGAGGGTATTTAAGTTAAGGACTCTACTAGCCCAGTAGTATTTGGTGGAGGTTGTTTTTTTTTTTTTACTCTTTTTAATGTTTGCTTATTAGAAGGTAAGGTATTTTTTTAAAGACCAGCCTATCAGCTTTGATTCGTATAGTTAACTATGACCACAATGCAGTTAGTATTCTCTCACATTAATAATATCAATTATTTCACTTTTTAGTTAAGATGAAAGTCATTCTACAAGTGCTGAGTCAGATGCCTCCAGAAGCTTTGAAGCATGATATAAGAGAAATAACTATTCTTAATTCTTTCTTCTTCTCCATTTCATGATTCATTGCTTCTAAGCATGGAGATTCCATTTAGTTTGCATGATTGGCAATTGCTGAGAATATAATTGTTCAGGATTCCCTACATAAAAGCTCATGCAACTGGAGTCCCAATCATTTTTATACAGAGCTTGAAATCTGAACAGTAAAAAAAAAAATCTTACAAAATTACATTGCAACTTAGCCAGACAGCATAATTTTCACATTTAAGCAGAAAGTATTCATAATCTGAATATTCAGTCTTTAGAATCAGACATCAGAATTCTGGATTTGGTCAGAACAGTAGAATGACACCCTACATTTCCAACAGTTCTATTTATTTGGACACCTGCTTATTCAAACATGTTCATCTACATCCTCCACGAGTCATTCTGATCAAGAAGGCTTAACAAAATGCATTCTCTCTGGTTGTGTGTTGACTCCCTCATCTGTCGCCAGGTGGCAGAGAGAGTCTATTGTGTTGTGATTGGCACAATGCAGCGCATCAGTGTTCCTTCACTGCATCCTTTTCATGGTTGTATAGGAGCGTAGAGAGCACCGCTTCACTCAGAGTGGTGCTGCTTTGGATCTTGCTGACCTGGGCTTCCTATGCCAGTCCAGACAGAGTAATGAAATTCCACCCTCTTGGCTCCGACAACAAAGGTGTTTCTATGAGCCCATCGGATGGTCTGACCACACAGCAGCTGCAGCTTTCTTTTTCTTCTCTTCTTCCATAATCTGGGGCTGTCATGGCGACTCCCAACAATATTACTCCCACAAACTGCAGCTGGTGGCCCATTTCAGCGCTGGAGAATGATGCAGGCAAATCCATGGAGGTTGAGGAGAATCAGGATCCAGCACACCCTGCCTTCAGGTCCAAGGACAGGCTGGTTCTGTATCACTGGACTCAATCCTTCAGCTCACAGAAGGTAAAATGCTTTGCTGGACTGAAGAAGGGCTTGCTAGCCAATACGATTCCCTTTACATTCTAGGGTGTTAAGATTATGAGGCTGGGGCAGGGTGGGGTGGGGGGAAGCTGGTTGCTTTTTTCCCCCTGGGGGAACAGTTGGAGATAGGGAGTTTAAGCTAATGTCTATGTTTGGTCTCTGGGTTTTTACCATTGCAACAATATTTGCCAAACGTGGGTGGAAGGGAGCAAATGTGTCTCTGTTTGATTTGCAGGTCAGATTTCCACGATGTATTTGGAGAACCTTTGGTTTGACAGCTTATTTGTTTAGGCTTCTGAATGAATGAGAAGAGAGAGAACAGCATAGAAAAATGAATTATTTGCAGGAAAAAGAATGGAGGCAGGCATGTTAGGACTGGAGATTCTGTATTTATTTGTGAAAGGGTCACACTATCCCCAATCGGCCCTTTATTTCTGACACTGCAGTACTTGTAAGTGCCAGGCTTTTTCTTGAAGAAAAAATCTGCTCTCAGAGCTATTCTGTTGAGGTTTTTGTTACAAATGTTGAAACTAGAGGCATTCACCTTTGGGAATCCTGACCTTTATTTTGCACAGCCAAGCACATCCGGCATACTGCAGCCATTTCACTGGGATTTGTAATATATTGGAGCTGCATAAATATATACAAAGGGGCAGTTTTGTCCAAATATGAGGTTGCTCCTTTCCTCCTACAATAGGATCATGCTTTGGAGGGAAGGGGCCAGCAGGCATCAGAGAAACCTTTGGACCTGTGATTCGTAAGGACTGTTTTGCACTTCCTGAGCTTCGAAAACAACCAAGGTGTTGTCTTCTTTTATTTCAGAGGATTTTGTCTCATTTTCTTCCATTATAAAACATCTTTGTTCAAAGATTTTCTTTAGGTCTTTGTCTCTGTGCCTGGGAAGGAAACAGTTAAGGAGCTACTCATACATGCTTTTCTACAACTAATCCAGAATTAGCCCCACCTCTGTCAGAATTGATGGGGCTCCAGAGACAGCAGATTGAACAATTAAAGAGACAGTACATGCACCACTGACAGGCTTTCCCCTACACACACACACACACACACACACTTATTCTTATTCGTATCCACACACACAGAGGTAGGGATGATACATATGTGTATCTGTGTGTGTGTTTCTTTGTGTTTTTTTAATTGCTTGCCAAGAATTCTCTCTGTTCTGTTAAGCAGATGGTGAGTTCCTGATGCAGTCTTGGATTATGCTGCATAAGCATGATATATGTAGTATATAATATGGATTTAGATCGTGTTTCATATTAGCATTCTCTTTATTTAATTGCATGAACAACATTGACCTCACCCCTTTCCTGAGAGGTCTGTAGGGGGAGTGCATAAGCACACCAAGGTGCCTTCCGTCCCTGTCCTATTGTTTCTTTTTTTTCTTATTCGTATTCATTTCATGTATTCATAACCATGTTTATACTTATACCTGTTATCTAATAATCACTTGACAAAATTAATTAATTAAATAAATAAATAAATAAATAAAAGAAGAAGTCCCATTTTTTTAGCAGCCAAAAGTTACAGCCTGGCAGAATCAAAACATTTGAAGATCTTCTTTCTTTGTCATTTCCCCATGCACCTTTCACCCTTCATCCCTTCAGGGTGTCTGCTAATAAAAGCAACAGATCATGTTTGAGGACAGACGTCTGAAAAAAGCTATGAAATAATACATCCCACAAAACTCCTTCCTTGTTTCAGTACCATGGCCAGGGCAAAAAATGAAGTTTTCAGTACCTAAAATGATGTTCTCTAACAAATAGAAAATAACCCTTTCTGTAGAAACAATCAATACATACAGAAAGAGAGACGTGGGAGGGAGAGGGAGGGAGAGGAAAAGGGAATATGTTTGCATAGATGATTCCCTATAGATTATACCCACATATTGCAGCTGAATTTTTGTCTCAAAAATGTTTGGTTTCTACAACCTCCAATTCCTGTGACAGAAATAAGCTATTCTAATTATTTTAGAACCATAATGTTTATTTAAACATTTTATACTTTGTGGTTGTGCTGTCTAACTTGTGGAATATATATGTTGCAGATAAAAAAACTTGAAAAGAAATATGGTTACAAATAATGAGCTAGTTTTGTACATTTAGGAATTATATATATATATAAAAAAGACTTGAAAGCTATGTCATCCGAAAAGCCCCAACACCGTTACTTACTTTCAAACTTGCCCAAAACATCTAGCAAGCTTTCATGGAATTCCAGTAAATTTAGAACCTGGGTTTAAAATCAAGAAATTTGGTTTCATTTTTTTTCATAGTAAATGCCACGTTCATAAGTAAACAAGACGGGATATGCTGTGTTCAGGGACATAGTGCAAAGCTATAGAGAAACTGGCCAAGGAATATTTCACATGTTCACATATATAAGAACAAGGAATAGTCAGTTAGAGTTACCTGGATTTTCTTTAAATATAAGGAAAAACTTTCTGATAGTAATATCTCTATAACAGCGTAATAGTCTGCTATGGAGGCTGTGGGTTCTCCATCTCGGGAGATTTTAAAGAAGAGCTTGGCCAGTGACCTCTTAATTGATTTTCCTATACATGTCTTGTGGTCCCTTCCAACTCTACTATTCTATAGGACCATGATGGTGAACCTATGTCACACATGCCGGAAGTGGCACACAGAGCCATTTCTGCCAGCACGTGAGCCATGGCCCCAAATCAGGTCCATGGCGCATGCTCACAGGCCAGCCAGCTGATTGTTGGGTATCTGCTGTGCATGCGTGGGGGGAGGGGCATGCAGGGGAGATGCGTGTGCATGCGCAGAGGTGTGTGGCACATGGGTTGTGCACACATGCACAGAGGTGTGTGACACACGGGGTCATTTACGCATGCACAGGGAGGTGGGGGGGGTCACGTGCATATTGCATTATGGATGCAGGCATGCACACACTTTCGGCACGCAAGGATAAAAAGGTTAGCCATCACTGCTATAGGAGCTGTGCTGTACCAAAACAAAATGTTATCCTATCCAACAGTTTGCAGCAACCAGATGCCAATCAGAAACTCACAGAGATAATACAACTACAATAGCACCACATTTGTTTATATTCCTTGACAATGGATATTGAAACCTTTGTTGCCCTCCATTTGAAAAGCATATAACCATTATGATCAGCATTTATTACCCACTGTGTCCCTTGTGCCTTTAAAGCCATCCAAATTAGTATCTTTTCTTATATCTTGTGCTATGGAAATCCATATTTTAATTTTGAGCTGTGCCAAGAAGTCATTCATTTTTCCTGAAATTCCCATTATCTAACTTCATTGCGCGATAGCGACAATAGTTACATATTTCCTTTCCTCTGGCAGTTCAATGGAACCTAGACAGTCTGTGGGATTTTAACCTCCCAAAGAATCCCCACCTCACCCCCAAAAAATAGGTTGAGAGAGAGCAACTGGTCCAAAGTCAGTCATATCCTTCTATGGGGTAAGCCCAATGTCTCAATCCACATCTGGAACATTTCTCTACATATGTGTTTCTCAACTGTTAAGATATGTGGACTTCAACTCCCAGAATTGGAAATGAGAGTTTAAATCTACACATATTGAAGTTGTTATGGTTCAGAAACATCATACATAAATTTATAAATCTATATTGTTAACCCCTTGAGACAGACCAGATTAGGAAACAAACTCTGAAAGTACTATTAAAGTTCTATTGTTGTAGGAAACCTGGCAGAAATTTTCTTTATTTCCCTCTTATACTGAACAGAGTCAAGGCAAGCTATTCCCAAGCTTCTTCCTCAGCTCTCCTATCTTTTCAATCTAATTAGATGTCTTAAAATATATTTTCTGAAATATATTTTCTTCAAGGTTATCACCATACTCCACTGCATGTTTTATGTCTTCTTAACTTGCCTTTCTTCTTGATTGAAAAATCTTCAAATTGTAACATTTCTTCACAAAAATCCCAAACACTGTAACTTTTCTCCACAAAATTCTCTAGTCTTTTAACTATTTTGGTTCCATCCTTTGAAACTTCTTCAGTCTTACAATATCATTGCTGAGAGGCAATTAAAGAATTCTAGTACATTGTGTATTGTCTCTATAGATTTGTAGGATTTACAATACAGTTGTTGCAGTGGTGATCTCCAGTGTGGGATTTATATTTTTCAAAGTAGCCTAATACTATTATCTAGCAATATATCAAAATAGGTTCCTTAGCTATTTTCTGCTAGCCATTCAATGACCTATTGATATCTATAGATAGAACTTGTTACATCAATGTGCATCAGTTTACTTTGGCTTACAATTACATTGACTTTAAAATGTTGATGTCTATTCTTCTTGTTAAAATATTCCCAGAGGTGGTATTTAGCAGATTCTGACCAGTTCTGGAGAACCAGTAGTAGAAATTTTGAGTAGTTCAGAGAACCAGCAAATACCACCTCTGACTGGCCCCACCCCATCTATTCTCTGAGTCTCAGTCCCAGCTGATCGGCTGGGTCTTCTTTTGTTGCCCTGCATAGGAGAACAGAGCTGGAAAGCAGGTTAGTAGGGTGGGGAAGGAATGGGATTTTGCAGTAACCCCAGGAGTAGGGTGGGAATGGAGATTTTACAGTATCCTTCCCCTGCCATGTTCATCAAGCCATGCCCACCAAGTTACGCCCACAGAACCGATAGTAAAAAAAAATTTAATCCCACCACCTGTTGGTCCATATTTTAATCACCCTAAAATAATCATTATGTACACATGACAAAGATGTTTCCAAGAGGCATCCTTGGGGATCCCAGTATTAGTATCTTTCCAGCTCAAAAATTATTTGTTCCTACTCTGTTTTGTTATCAGTCATTCATAAGAGAATGTCTTCATTTACTCCAAGAAGTTACATTTGTTTAGATGAAGCCTTTTGAACACTTTAGTGGAAATACTCAAAGTACCATAGTAAAAGAGTTGTGAGAACGGGTTTATGTTTACAGAGATCATGTTAATTTTGCTTTG